GCATCTCCACCCTAATATTGTATATCTATATAAGTTTGTAATGTTATGAAACTATAAAGAGTTTGATAGGCATCTTCATCCTAATATTGTATATCTACATAAGTTTGTAATGTTATGAAACTATAAAGAGTTTGATAGGCATCTCTACCCTAATATTGCATATCTACATAAGTTTGTAATGTTATGATAATATAAAGAGTTTGATAGGCATCTCTACCCTAACATTGCATATCTACATAAATTTGTAATGTTATGATACTATAAAGAGTTTTATAGGCATCTCTACCCTAACATTGCATATCTACATAAGTTTGTAATGTTATGAAACTATAAAGAGTTTGATAGGCATCTCCACCGTAATATTGTATATCTACATTAGTTTGTAATGTTATGAAACTATAAAGAGTTTGATATGCATCTCTACCCTAACATTGCATATCTACATAAGTTTGTAATGTTATGAAACTATAAAGAGTTTGATATGCATCTCTGCCCTATTATTGCATATCTACATACGTTTGTAATGTTATGAAACTATAAAGAGTTTTATAGGCATCTCTACCCTAACATTGCATATCTACATAATTTGTAATGTTACGATACTATAGAGAGTTTGATAGGCATCTCTACCCAAATATTGCATATCTACATAAATTTGTAATGTTATGATACTATAAAGAGTTTGATGGGCATCTCTACCCTAATATTGCATATCTACATACGTTTGTAATGGTATGAAACTATAAAGAGTTTGATAGGCATCTACCCTAACATTGCATATCTACATAATTTGTAATGTTACGATACTATAGAGAGTTTGATAGGCATCTACCCTAACATTGCATATCTACATAAGTTTGTAATGTTATGATACTATAAAGAGTTTGATAGGCATCTCTACCCTAACATTGCATTTCTACATAAAAGTAGGGTCAACGCCTATGGAGATTTAACATTAGCGTCGGCCCCCACTTGGAATTTCAAAACCATATAAATCCAAAAAGGTATGGGTATAGGAAACTTAAATCAGGAACAATTAGTTTCAGAATTCATTTGATGATAAATGGGACCTCCTTGACTTACGCCTGTGTGGGTGTTAAAGGTGCAGTAATACAATTCCTCCTAGAGCATTTAAATGGCACAATTACTTTAAAATTATATCATCATCGTGTGCAACGTATTTCAACTGTTATTTTGATACCGAATATTACACTATTTTAATGAAGAATTGCTCTTTTTATTTAAGAACTAGGCAGAAAAATGTGTGAAATTTCATTTCTAATGAGATTTTTTTCATTTTTGACACGTTAATTCATATAGTTCTAAAACTAGTCTATTTTTCTTACTTGTTAAAAGGTTGGCTACCAATAATATCTTTCAACATCAGGAATTTAAAAAAAAAGGAAAACCGGTAAATTTGTCGTATGCTACCTTTGGTTCAAAAACAGAAAAACATAGCTGTCTTTCCACATTTCCTTTAACTTGTGTTTCTTCATTACTAAAGGTCCTTGGGTGTTGGTATTTGGCAAGTAGGTTGTTCATGTAAATGAGTTTAAATGTTGTTAATTTTGATGAAGTTGATCTTTGTTCAAGGTCACAAAAACCAAATGTGCCGAAATATTTTTTTTGTATGGGGAGTCAGACAGGGGTATCTTTCCTTGCTTTAGTTGTTTAGAGTTAACGATATAAAATAGTGTAATATCCCTTCATATTTTGTTTAATGAATGGTCAAAAGGCAACAAATGTAATAACTAGAACTGTAAGCCAAAGACTAACTAATACCCCCGCTCCTATATAAACCAAAACTGTATTCTAAAGGCTAACTAAAGCAAAGCATTGCAAATTAATCCATAGTCTCCCACCAGTAACTATGTACATATATATTTCAGACATACTTCTTGTACTCCCTCCCCATGCCAAAACATACTTTCATACCACATCTTGTTAGCCCAGATGACCCACTTTTGCTGAAATCGTTCTAGTAGTGAATGAAGAGTTGTCAAGACAAAGATGTTTAACAAAGGACCATAACTCCTTAAAAAGGGTCGAAATGAAAAAAATACTTCCCTGATGCACGACATCAGGGGGTAATTACCATGTCTGTAAATTTCTTGAAATTGGCCCAGAAGTTTATGAGGCAGACAAAGTATTTTTCTAAGAAAGGGCCATAACTCCTTTTTAAAGGGTCGGAATGAAAACACACTTCTTGGATGCACAATGTCAGGGGGCAGTTACCATATCTGTAAACTTCCGTTGGAATTGGCCCCATAGTTTTGGAGGAGTTGTCTAGACAAGTGTTTTTCAACAAAAGGGCCATTACTCCGTACAAAAAGGGTCAGATTGAAAAAAGAATTCCTGGATGCACACAATCAGATGGTTGTTACCATATCCGGAAACCTTCGTTGAAATTGACCCCTTAGTTTTGGAGGAGTTGTCTGGACAAGGATTTTTCAAGAAGAAAAAAGGTCAGAATGAAAAAATAATACCTGGATGCACAACTTCAAGTGTTAGTAATATCTGGAAAAACCTTCGTTGAAAGTGGGTCCACTACTTTAGAATGAGCTGACAGATAGACAAGCTGATTCCAGTATACCCCCCCCCCCAACACACACCACCCCTTACTTCGTTGTGGGAGATATAATAAAGTGTATAATAGTTTTATTATTAAGATTATTTTATTATATTTAGATAATTGCATAGATTTGTCTATAACACAATCTCAAACCTAAAGTAATTCTCCAGAGAAAGATTACTATGACATAATACATATTCATGAATAATTACTGCTGCACATAACTTTAAAACATGCCTAATATAATAAAGTGTTTTAGTATGATACAAAAACAGAAAATGTATCGGTATTTATCATAATAAACATTGATAGTCAAATCTTCAAGGTTATGTGAAATTGGGCATTGGTCATGTTTGGCATGCTAAAAAGTACTTTACCGGTTTTGATATTACATAAAAATGATTCTGTAGACAGAATACATATATAGGAAGTTTTTAAAGAAGTTTAAAATATAGACTACCATCGTAACTATATATAGACAAGTTGACAATGTTATTTATATTTCAAATTTTGTAAAACTTTTGCATGTTTTTTCCAATTAAAAGTATCACTACGCTTACTTTATGTCTACCAATATGACATATTTAGTATCAAAATAACAGTAATCTTATACACTATACACTATCATAATTCATTTTCAAATTAACATCTGCCTGTGATATTTATCGGTCATTTTGTTAGGATACCCCCGTCACTCAACCTGGTGTTATGCAAGGAGGTCCACTACTGTTATCAGTAACAATAATGAATAATAATTTATGCAGTAATTGATCATTTTTATGTATCTACATAAGGCAAAAGAATAAAGGAAATCAAATTGGGGGCCAAATGTTGACCCCACCTTTGTAATGGTATGATACTATAAAGAGTTTGATATGCATCTTTACCCTAACATTGTATTTTTACATAAGCTTTGGATCTATTCAGATATGGAATTTCATCCTTTAAACTTCAATTCAAAACAAATTTTAATGACAATAGAATTGAAACAGGTCGAAAGGAATTGACAACATACGTAGGCCCTATATACAAAATGCAAGTCCTTTACCGTGGTGGAATGCGAACATATATTGAAAGACAATAACAATGATAAACATATGTCGCAATTGGCTATAAAACTTAAGACAAGGAAAAATCAATGGGGCCTTATGTAACTATCGATTAACTTTTTCTCCTTCTCGTACATAATCAACATAAATAAAACGTGTATCATATAATTTAACAATACCTATTTGACCTCGATGCCACTGATGATTCCCAAATGGTAATATGGTGCTGAGAAATGTCATTTTCTTTGAATTCTGCATCGTCATACTCATCCACATACCGATCCATCTGAAACTTGGAACATAGCGTTTTATAGCTACAGATACATAACAATTTCAGATGTTACTTAAGTTAATGGTTATTTTAGTTAAGGTTAGTTAGGTATGAAGCTATAATATCACACGTGTATGACGAGTCGCCGATATCAAAATACAAGAGATCCAAGAGGGATCTTGGCGCCCACCTTTATACCATCTTCATTAGTTCTTTGTCAGTTCGATCTTTTCTCTTCTCTTCTAATCTTTTTGATCGAGTCATGTTAACAGTAAATGCACCTTGAGGTAACTTTTGATCTAAATTTAATACTGATGTGCATGAAAGCCAACTTTCAAAGTGAGTTCGTCATTTCACATATTTACTAGTACAGTACTTAATGTGAAAGAAATAGAATCGATCATTGCAATATGAGAAAGATCTGTTTAGTTCTTCTTTTAATCCATTTTGTTTTAATGATCAGTCTCAAAATATAACATGCACAACGAGAGATCAAGGGGAACCTACATATAAAATTTGAGAAAGATCCCACTGGCACTTCTTGAGAAATAGCGATAACAAACTTTCAATATCAAAATCCAAGATGGCTGCCTGTCGGCCATGTTGTTTATCCGATCAGTCTAAAAAGTTGCCCTGCACAACTAAGGACCAAGGGAAACCTACATATATAATTTGAGAAAGATCCCTTTGGCACTTCTTGAGAAATAGCGATAACAAACTTTCAATATCAAAATCCAAGATAGCTGCCTGTCGGCCTTGTTGTTTATCCGATCAGTCTCAAAAGTTGCCCTGCACAGCTTATGACCAAGGGGAACCTACATATAAAATTTGAGAAAGATCCTTTTGGTACTTCTTGAGAAATACCGATAACAAGAATTGTTTAAAGACGGACGACGGACGGACGACGGAACACGGACGCAGGGTGATTTGAATAGCCCACCATCATCTTAGCCCACCATCAGATGATGGTGGGCTAAAGAGACGGGAAATATAATTCATTATATCTCGGTCTAATAAGCACATGCTAAATGTAAAATGTATCTTGTTTCTTGTGGTTTTGTATGAATTACACACATAACTGATCCTGCGTGAAAGGCGATGTAGCTATAGTGTCCATAATTACCCAGTACTTGTGCCGAGGTAGCTAGTTCCGTACGCCTGACTTCTGAGTCCATACTTACCCAGTACTTGTACCGAGGTAGCTAGTTCCGTACGCCTGACGTCTGAGTCCATACTTACCCAGGACTTGTGCCGAGGTAGCTAGTTCCGTACGCCTGACTTCCGAGTTGGATATGGTTCTACCACAGAATTGGGGATCTACTCACGACACCAATGCATGCAACTCGTAAGTAATTTTCAGGGACATGTCTAAACAAACGTTTTACGAAAAATATAAATGTATGATAATGTTATGTTTTCAGCCTCTTCGAGTTGTATCATTCATAGCAGTGGTGGATCCAGAGGTTTTTGTTTAGAATTTTCAAAAACTCCAAAGCATGCCATTTTTCTTAAAAAACCCATTTTATAACAATTTAATTTGGTAACCTTCCTTATATATTGTCCTTCCTCCAACCAATCTTTGGACCAACCATTACTTAAATGAATAATTCAGCAACGGGAACTTTAATTTAAATCAGAAGTTACATATCGACTTATAAATGTATTTAATTTTCTTATAAGTTCTCATCTTTATTTAAATGTTAAAACTTTAACACAAATAAACAAATGTGTTGTTGAAGAAAGTTTACGGCAATTATTTGTATGCATATATCAAACAGTTACATTACAGAATTTCCCTACAGAGATGTGTATTCACACGCTAATGTAATTGATACACAAGATGTTCATTTGTTTAATTCTGATTTTTGGTTATATGTATTGTTTTAATGTTTAAGATAAATAATCTACACTGTGGAATTTCTTTTTTTCCTTGTAAGGACTAAATACATTCCAGGAAGCGCTCAAACGTAGCTTTAAAGTCAAGAGGCCATATTTAAGATCCTGGACGGGAAACGTGTAGGCTATAGCGAAATTCAGTAGTTTTTACTATTGTAGGCTAAAATTAGTACCAGACAAATAAGATAAACTTAATTAAAATGGATGTATAATTTCAGCATGATATGTACTTTTATCATATGAATACAGTAGTATGCAGTGTCATAAAGCCAATACATCAACTATGTTTATGTAACGTGTTTAATATCACTCCGGAAAAGACGTCACAATCGAATAGGGACAATCAATGTGACGTCACGTCATTGTGAAGTGGACGCCATTTTTATCGTTTCAGAGGTGGCAATGTGCAAAATATTCACTTCAGATCACAACTACTATGCAATTTACTTTGTATCATATGATAAAAAGAATCTGTCATTCGTTTCCCTCCAATTAGATTTTTTGATACTCGTTTAGGATTTTTCATATTTGCTCGCCAGAGGCTCGCAAACATGAACAATCCAAAACTTGTATCATAAATCTAATATGAAGGGAACCTTATGACAGATCCTCTATGTATACAATAAGTTGAACAAAAATATAAGAAATATTATTGTAGTATTCTAATACAATAGAAAGAAGAACATTATAGTATTTCATAGCTATAAAAACATAATAGTTTTAAAAAAGAAAATTGAATAAATTTATTGGATATGTGTAAATGATGTGATATGAACTGTATACAACAGGTGGTTCAGCCAGTCCCTGCCACCTGTTTTCTGACCAGTTTACATTTTTGCAGTAGAAAATAGATTCGTGATATTGATAGTACCATGTTGAATAAAACATAAGAAATGTAATACTAGATGTGGCTGTCGAACACAATCCCCTCGTAATGACTGATAGGATAACACTAACAGATGATTATCAACAGGCTCCATTAGAATACACTTATATTAATTACTCTTATCAAATTGTGATATCATTTATCATTTCATCTGTCAGTTTATGTAATATATTGCTGTATCCTGTGAACGCCCGCATGCTATAGGCTGTCTTTGCCGGGGCTCCCCTCAATTGCAGCCATGGACTTGTTGACTAACAGATGATTATCTACAAGCTCCAGTAGGATACACTAATATAATTACAACATTTAGTACCTTTATTATCTACCAGTAGTTAATATATATATGTACCATGTGACCATGCAGACTATGCTGTCTTTTCCTGGCTCCCCCCAATTACAGCCTTGAACCTGTAGACTAACATGACACTATGCCATTATCTACAGGCTCCAATTATGATACACCAATATTAACGACACTGGCAGATATCATATATCAGCTGCCAATAGCAGTCATACAGAGTAGCCCGAAGAAGTATGAATAGATATCATCATAAACACACGGCTCTACATTATATTTAAGTGAAATGCATACACATCATCAGCTTTACACAATATTAGAATAAATCAGGTTGCCGTCATGTATATATATAAAAAGGGAATATTTAGTGTGTTTTTTGTTTTTGTTTCTATACGGAAAGGTTATTGCAGGGTTTTCGAGTTACAAGGGATTTATTACACCCGAGTGACGAGAAATCATGCAATAACTGGCTTACTGCATGCTTCCCAACTCGAACAAAACAGAAAAATTGAGTAAAAAATGTTCACCTGGACAATCTTTTCACAAAGCCTACACTGCAGATATTTTACATGTACCTGTGTGAGTGAGTACTAATCAGAACCTGGTAAGTTTGTCTTTCTTCTCAATAGCCCAGTCTGAGTGTATCCTTCATAATGCTGAAAGAAAGGGGAGATAATCAATAAGTAAGTATAACGATGAAGTCAATACACTGGAAAGAATAAACTGCAGTAAGCCAGTTATTGCATTATTTCTCGTCACTCGGCACTAACTGCTGAATTACATGAAGTTATATAAAGTGATAGATAATTATTTAAGCTTTCTATAGAGGTATAGAATGTGATTCTAGGTGATCGTAATAGTTTTATATGATCGTTTGAATATGAAGTAATTCAATGTATTTTTCTATGACGTTTCCGGAGTAAACGTAATTGGGTCTACGCATAAATTGTTGACGTCATAGTACAACGACGTCATGATAGGACATTTCAAAACCACGCTGAATTCTTGGCCTAAATCTCTTAACAGAGAAATGAAAGATTTGATTGATTGACTGATTGGTAAAACCTTTGAAATCCTTATTTTACCGTAAGGGATAAAGGGATNTCCCCCCTCATGGTCGGTTTGGACTCCCTGGGTGCAAAGGGGCGGGGGACAATAGGGTCAATAGAGGTAAAACCTTTGAAATCCTTATTTTACCGTAAGGGATAAAGGGATTGCATCCCAATTTGGTCTGGAGCATCCTTGGGCCAAGGGAATTCAATTTTGTATAAACGATGGGTGTGCCTCCCCCCTTGGGGGCAGATGGTGGGGCCAAATAGGGGAAATAGAGGTAAACCTTTGAAATCCTTCTTCTACCATAGGGATTAAATGAATTCATCCCAATTCAGCCTGTAGCTTCCTTTGGCCAAGGGCAATACATTTTGTATAAACGATGGGTGTGCCTCCCCCCTTGGGGGCAGATGGTGGGGCCAAATAGGGGAAATAGAGGTAAACCTTTGAAATCCTTCTTCTACCACAGGGATTTAGAGATTTCCTCCCAATTTGGTTCGGAGCATCCTTGGGCAAAGGGTACTCAATCTTGTTAAAATGGTGGGTGTGGACCCCCTGGGTGGAGAGGGGCGGGCCCAAATAGGGGAAATAGAGGTAAAATCATTAAAACCCCACTTCTTCCATAGGGATTAGGGGTTTTTATCCTTATTTGGTCTCGAGCATCCTTAGGCAAAAAGGACTTGATCTTGTATAGACGGTGGGTGGGGACCCTTTGGGTGCAGAGGGCGGGGCTAAAAAGGGAAATTGAGGTTTTAATCTTTAAAATCCTTCTCCTAATGCACCATTTGAGGGATTTTATCCGAATTTGGCCTTGAGTATCCTTAGGCAAAGGGTCTTAATTTTATATAGATGATGGGTGTGGACCCTTTGGGTGCAGTGTTGTGGGGCTCAATGGGGGAATTTGAGGTTTAATTCTTTAAAATACTTCTTCTTCTGTACCATTGGAGGGATTGTTTGTAATAAGAATAATTTCCCATGGTTGCTTTATTATCCATGTGAGTGATACAGGCCCTCTGCGCCTCTTATTTTATTTTATCACAACACCTTTAACTTACAATGGTATACAAAGATATGTAACATATAAAAATTTAATGTAAAAGCATGCGTGGTTGTACAGAGAGATACAAGTATTATAGTAATAGAGGTGTACTGTAGTTACATATAATTGTAGTAGGACGAGGAAAAATGATAAAGATAGTGCCGTCGCTGGGGCTCGAACCCGCGACCCTTGGCTCTCCAGCCCGAGCTAAAGGGAAATTCCCCACAGCTGAAGCTTGTAAGGCAACCTAATTAATCCACTCTTTTAAATGCATACACTACATACATGCATCTCGCATACAGGGGAGGGGGTCCTTAAATGACCATAGCTGTTGATAGGATGTTAAACAATACTAAACCAAACCAAACCAACACTACTCTCCCCTTTTTTCAAACACCAACCACGTTCTTTGACTCCCCGCCAAGGGTTCAACTACCTTGAACGGTGAGGGTCAACGGCACCAATTTGTATTAGGACGAGGACAAGTGATAACGATAGTGCCATCGCTGGGGCTCGAACCCGCGACCTTTGGCTCTCAATCCCGATGCTCTACCGCTAAGCTAAACGGAAATTCCTTACAGCTGACGCTTGTAAGGCAACCTAATTAATCCACTCTTTTACATTATACATGTAGTCACTGATGATATTCGATGTTAAGTTTCCGAACAGATCTTAATCATGGCCTATCCTTTGCCCAGTCATTTTAGGCTACACTAATTTCTGTTCTGATTGATGGACCACAATAAAAGTTGTTTAATTGAATATAGTAATCGTGTTCTTGAAGATGGGGGAAAATGCCATAATCTTCCGCAAAACGGCTGCTGAAGACTGGCTTCTGATTAGTCGAAATGTATGCATTGTCCAATATCCCTATATAAAAGTGTGCAGTGTCACTACGAACACTACTGCAATCTGCGTTGCTTTTTTATTTGACAATGTGTCCGTGTTAGGTCGGGTCCTGATTGGTCGTCATTTAGATATTAACCGATGTTATAGATTTGGTATGTAGATGTATTATGTAGAGTTGTCAACGGTTAGCCGGTTAACCGGTTACTCGGGCGAAAGATCACGAACCGGTTACCAAAATCCTTAACCGAAAAGTCGGACATTTACTTACCCCTTTTGGGAGCCCCATGTTTCCCTGGCTTAGACCTACAAACTATCTGTATGTGACCA